CCAGAAAATTCTTTGTGTTGATCAAAAGGCATCTTCTAAACTGCCAATCAAGCATCTAAACTCACGTACAAAGAAAAGTACATTACACACCTGGTGTTTTGGGATTAATTGAGTGTTGTGATTTTGACTGGCAACTTGGGCACGATATCTGTGGTGTTTTTGGCAACATATTAGGAATGTCTGTGACTTATATCACTGTAAAAGCTCTTTTCAAAACATTTATGTCGCTTTTTGGAAAGTAATCCAAAAGCAACCAGGTGTGTACTTTCTGTTGTACGTCTGTTTAGTTTATTCTGTAGTAAGGCAACACGGCCTGAGGACAGTTTTATGCTATAATTTGAGTAGTCCCGTGAGATTTCGTAAATGGAAAGTTTTAATTATACCAAGCAATACATCTAAGAGACATATATTTCTGGTATTTAACAAATTTACATACTAAAAATGTAAATACGTCTTTCTAATGCTGAAGTACTTTGACATTTAAACATAATCAGATTCACATCTTGAAGAGAAGCTAAATTACAATCTGTATATAAAGTATCAGAGTGAAAGGTGATGTAACCTGAAGTACAAAAGAAAGCATACGCATGTTTTTGTTGATTATTGTCCCAAAAGACATTCCGTAAATATAATTTATTTTTATACCGAGCAACACATTTAAGAGATATACATGGCTGGTATTTAGCAAATTTACATACTAAAAATGTAAATACGTTATTCTAATATTTGACTAATTATGACATTTACACATAATACGATTCTCATCTTAAAATTAAATTATAATCTATACATAAAGTATCAGAGTGAAAGGTGATGTGAACTGAAGTACAAACGAAAATATACACATATTTCTAACTACCTAACTCGAAAACTACTAAACATATAATATTCAATGAAACACTGATCAGAGTATTATATGTTTAGTAGTTTTAGAGTTAGACTGCAATTCATCGGTCCGCTTTTGAGGCAATCGGACTATTGTACAAATATCTTGGATCAGCTGACTGCGTTATGTTTCAGCCAATCTAGCTCAACATCCGGGTTCCCTTGAAAGTGATGCTGCTTAAAACATGGTTACCTTTCGAAGGAGGAGCGTGAAAATTTACATTTGCTTTCAAACTACATTGTTAAGGTTACATGTCAAACGAACGACATGGTTTGTTTGTACATATTTATGTTCTTGTTCGAGTTATTCACCACACCCCAACACACGATCTATTTCTGTTCGCCATGCATTATCCCAGGGCAAGGGTGTAGTTATGTCTGCTTTGAAGTTTATTTTGTAATCTTGTGCTTTTATCAATTAGGAGAGCTACGAAATCCATTTCCATTGGCACAAGAACCCAACCCCACCCCACAGGCATATAAAAGCAATATGTACTTTGGTGAGGTGAACACTACCAATAACAGAATGGTGCTCCAGAGTTCACTGGACACAAACACACACCTAACACTACAACTGACTGACTGAGTTTAGTTTTAAGCCGCTTTTAGCAATATTTCAGCAATATCACGGCGGGGGACACCAGAAATGGGCTTAACACATCGAACCCGGGTCTTCGGCGTGACGAGCCAACGCTTTAACCACTAGGCTACCCCACCGCCCCCCTAACACTACAAACATCCCCTAGCCCACTTAACAGTACTTAGGCATATTTCTGATCAAAACTGGCCTTTTAGGTCGAATATAACCCCACATAAGCAACTAGTGCTAACACTGAAAAATAATACAAAACAAGACATAGAAGTAAACAAAACAAATACCAACAAAACCATCCCATAGATGCCCCACTGACACCCGTGTGCAAAATACGCATTATGTCGGAAAGCACATGTTAGATCTCATCATCATCATCATCACCACCACCACCACCATCATCATCATCATCATCATCATCACAGCTCCTTGATGACAGTTACTCGATATTTCATCATGCTGAAATAGTGATATCCTCCTCCTCATCATCATCATTGTCATCATTGTCAACAATTTCATCACTAAATCTCTTTCAAATGTCACTTAATACCCATTCCGTTTAGACTGGATCTTATTTATTTATTTATTTATTTATTTATTTATTTATTTATTTATTTATTTATTTATTTATTTATTGCGACTGGTAAGAGAGAGGAAATCTAATTCATGATGAAAATCAATTCGCTTTGCTTCGGAAACATTCTTAAAATGCAAGATGACGAATTGTTATGTAATCAATATTATTGATACACAAAAGTCACAAGAGATTTAAACTGTAGTAAATCATTGATTAAAGCTTAGACAGGTGTGGAAAGTATTACGATAATTGTTTAATTTTCAGTTTATAAATAAACTTGCTAACGGTTAATCCGTATAACTTATGGGGTCTGGCCGTCAGCTGGCTTTGTGTGCAGCACTGCGATGAGTGAGTGAGTGAATTTAGTTGTACGCCACTTTTAGCAATATTCCAGCAATATAACGGCGGAGGACCTCAGAAGTGGGCTTCACACATTGTACCCATGTGAGGAATCGAACCCGGGCATTCATCATCATCATCATCATCATCATCATCATCATCATCATCATCACCATCACCATCACCACCATCACGGTGAGGTAATTTAAAACATGGACATAATTTAACCGCAATGGCTCTGGTCATGGGAGCGGCCATATTTTCAGAGCCCTGATGTCCTCCCTTTGGCCTATATCGTAGTATATGTGAGTGCTCTCGTTCTCCCTACAGCGTCTGAAGTGCAAAAAAGTCAGCATGAAAGGGCAAGAGTACTTTAATACTAAAAGCATAATAGTACAAGTTTGTACATGTAAACTGATCAAGGGCGAAACCTAGACACTGATATAAGCTACGTTGTGGATATTCTTGCCTCGGGAAGATGATGATGTCTTTTGATTGTAATACTTGATAAATCTCGCAAGTTACCAATGGAATAAGGGAATAAGCTTATTATCACTAGCTCAATTCCATATAACACTAGGTGTCCCTCGACAAAAATCTAACCCTCTGTCAATCTGGAGCCAGCTTAGATACCGGAATGGACATTAGTGAAATGTTATCTCTTAAATTTGATCCCGTTAATGATAAGGGTGACATTAGTTGTCCAGATAACATCATTACAAGAAATAATTTCCTTTATGCACTAAGGGACACTAATATATGACCTACCCTGTATTAATATTGTATAGTCTATGCAGGATATGAACACTGTACGCAGTAGCATGGGGATAGCAAGATTATGTTTGTCTTCAGTCTGCAGCAGTTATGAGCCTTTGATAGGTCAACGTTTGTTTGTGTGTTTGTTTACAGCAACATCTATTGATATTTGCAGCTGTATGACAGTCTCTAAATAACAGAATCAAAACAAGTGATTGATATTGCGAACACTGATACAAGTCATCGCATGACACACAATCCACCCAGTCACTGAAACTGACCACTCACTCACTCACTCACTCACTAGAACTGACCACCCGAACCCTTTGTAGCCAGCATTAATTTTCAGACAAAGGTCAGAAACAAATTAAAAATGGGGCAATACATGTCTTTAATCATCGTGATCTGATCAAGTTGATATTTCGCTCGGGGTCGTTGTCGGGTCACACGACGAGATAAATATGTCAGTTGACAAGATCAGCCAATTAATCTCCATGTATTGATATGCGACAGTTGGAGCCTAAATCGTTGATCATTCGATATTTATGTTTTTTAAATTGCAGATTGAGGGCCATATATAGCAATGAAGGATCGGGCTGCTTGTTTACTGTGTATTATGTTAAGCTTGTTCGGACTTCAATGATATCAGATGATAAAGCATAAAACACAGGACGTCACAATCAAACAGGTGTTTCAAAACAGTTAACGTAAGTGAGTTAACTTAGATTTTAGTAACATCAGCAGTATTTCATCCACATCGTGACTAAAACAAGTTATACATTCATGATACATAAACTTAGATTATAAAAAAACGATAAAGGACAGTAAAAACAGTAAATCACAAATATAGACATAAAACTAGCATGTAAATCTAAACATATTTTACTATTGAAGACAATCCAGTGAAAAAACAGACTATAGATCGTCAATATCTGAAGATAGATCACCATACCAAGGACCATGGGTACATTGGCTTCCTGCATGGAGCCTAGTTGGATTAACACCATGTCATCAGCCGTTGGTGATAGTGCTATTATCTATTTACAAAGGTATATTTAAATGAAAATGTGACAGAATTTCGTTTAAGAAATCAGTAAGTAAATGGATACTGGCGTTATTAAAAAGATCCTTGACTGCGTTCACAGTCAATATAAAATGGAGGAACCTCTCCTTCTAATAAATAAATGTTCGTGTGTATATGGTGAATGGCCAATACGCTAACATCATCATCATCATCATCATCATCATCATCATCATCATCATCAAAACATTTATATAGCACCAATTCCAGTCAAAACGTACTGCTCGGTAGCGGTCTCCGAACAACTCAAGAATGAAAAGTTAGACATTGTATGTTTTCTTAAAAAGTTATGATCGATCACCCAACCCGGTACTGGAAGTTAAGTGTGGGACAACAAAAATACCAAGATTTTCAGATCGGAGACTTCCATTGGGCTGATATCTGGTGATCAGGTCAGATAGATACGTTGGAGCTAGGTTATTGAGGCACTTGAAAACAGAAGTGTTGAGTTTGTATTGGATTCTGTCTGATATGGGAAGCCGGTGTAATCTGTGCAGAACAGGAGTTATGTGAGAGTATTTCTGTGATCTTCTGATCTAACAACATTGTATATATACATATGTATGTATATCTGTACCTTGTTTGGAAATAGATATCACTTAGGCGTCCTTTAAACGCTAACAAAGAAAACGTTTAAAATATCATGCTTGCATCGTTTTTGCATTTATCATGATAACCTGTACGATGTGGTTTGTGAACAATCGAGTCTGAACTGGACAATCAAGTGTTTTACACCATGCGATACGATGCACAGACCATTTATGAGTGAGTGAGTGAGTTGGGTTTTACGCCGATTTTAGCAATATTCCGGCAATATCACGGCGGGGAACACCAGAAATGTGCTTCACACATTGTACCCATGTGGGGAATTGAACCCGGGTCTTCGGCGTGACGAGCGAACGCTTTAACCACTAGACTACCCCACCGCCCCTCATGTATTTATGAAATACTATCAAATAGTGATGGTACCAGTTCGCGGAAAGGTGAGCGTAAGCTGCCCCACCAATGCAAAGTCTGGTCAATTGTTCACCGAATTAATTCGGGAACGTATATTACAAGTAAAAAATGAGGAACTTCATCGGGCATACTATATGTCACTGATGGATCCAATATTGAAATGCCCTCCACAGCTTTAATGAGGCCTTGAATGGTGTAACTTGATCGGACAACCTCTGAGCAAGAGTGGTATGACACTCTGTGAAATCGTGTCAACAAATGGACACAAAACCGCAACACTTAATAAATTACTTACGAAGACCTGCAGTCTTGGCGTAGTTTCTTTCCAGATTTACACTGGACAGCTGTCTCCACCGTGTGGAGCTCTGCGCTCCACAACATCGCCAGAACAACGAGGAACGGAAACAAGGTATTCATCCTCCAGTGAACATAGAAACTAGGAACAGTTGGCGAGTAGCTTCACCGAACGTCTGATTTCTAATAACACAACGCAGTGATTTATACGCTATTGTGATCACGTGACGTATCGATGGGTAACACACGACGGTAAACTCGTTTACAAGTTGATCCAACTGAAAGACTGAAATAAGCCAGACCAGTCGTGCCCCACATATTATTTGCATCGCTGCCTTAAGAAAATTTTGCCTTGGGAAGGTATTATTCGTATCTAAGCTTTATCAGATGAAAATAGCGCCTGTGTTGGGTTGACTTCATGAAAGGAGTAAATTATACGAAGTGTATTCCTTAGGAAGAATGAAGATGATTAAGATAAATATTAGGAAAAACGTACGAAAACACCTTCAAAGGAAACAATTGTCACTCAATTAGAATACAGGTTGCACGGTGGTGAGTCATTTTGTATGCTCAGTCAAGCTGTAAGAGATAATGTGTTGAACGTTCTCAGAGGACGTATCTTGAGCGTCCCTCAACACACATTCGGTGGGACAAAAAATTTGCAAAGAATATAAAGACAAGTTCCACATATGCTTATGGTGAGCGAGTATGGTTTTAGGCAGTTTTTAGCAATATTCCAGCACTATGGGCTTCACACATTGTACCCATGAGGGAATGGAACCTAGGTCTTGGCCGTGACGAGCGAACGCTTTAACCACTAGCCTACCCCATCACCCCTTATAAACTAAACCCTACTTGAGTGAAACTGGCGTTACAGACTGCAATTAACAGTACAGTGCATTGCGGGGTTCACTTAGCAGGTTTCAACATTACGTGACAACATAATTACAAGTTCATGAATGTAATAATTGGAATGTATGTCTACATATTGAATCAAACTATGAATGTAGATAAAATGGTTAATGACTGCAACACTCTGGAGTATTCGGGTTTAGTTTGGTTGTTGTTTAACGCCGCACTCAGCAATATTCCAGCTATATGGCGGCGGTCTGTAAATAGTCGAGTCTGGACCAGACAATCCAGTGATCAACAGCATGAGCATCGATCTACGCAATTGGGATACGATGACATGTGTCAACCAAGTCAGCGACCCTGGCCACCCGATCCCGTTAGTCGCCTCTTACGACAAGCATGGGTTGCTGAAGATCAATGCTAACCCGGATCGAGGGTGGAGTAGCCTAGTTGCACATGCGTTCGCTTGTCATTGAAGGTCTGTGTTCGAGTCCCGAAATGGGTTCAACCTATGAAGCCAAATTCTGGTGTCGTGATATAAGTGATGCTTGCTTCACAACGGTGTTAATATTTACACCGAAACATCCCATCTGTTGCAATAAAGAAGTTGTGTATCTAATAAAAAATGTTCCTCATCACCATAACAGCTTATTTAGTGTCACTTAAAGATGTTAGGCGCAGTGATAGTGCTTGAATATTGCTCAAAGTAACGGAAAGCCACAGGTATCACTCTAATATGTTATTCCTAAAAAAACAAATAACTTTCTGCTGAGGCATACGTGGTTAAAATATCGTAATTGTTTACGATATAGTTGGGATGCACTCATGTGGCTGCCTCATAAAATACAGCGTAAAATGATCATGAAAGACACCCTTGCCTGTTCAGCCAAGCATGTCAGCAGACTTGTGCCCGTGAGCTAATATCCCCATATTATTACTGTTCTTTGTTTGTTGCTCAATGCCTCACTCACCAATATTCCAGCTATATGGCGGCGGTCTGTAAATAATCGAGTCTCGACCAGACAATCCAGCGATCAACAGCATGAGCATCGCTCTACGCATTTGAGATACGATGGCTTGTGTCAACCAAGTCAGCGAGCCTAACCACCCGATCCCGTTAGTCGCACTTTGCGACAGGCATGGGTTACTGAAGATCAATTCTAACCATAATGTTCACTAGTTCCTCTCTTTATCACTACAGTCAGAATGCAAGGTTGTGCAATTCATGTGTTGATGAACATATCTTCCTTTGTAGGGCCCAACGTAAAGGTCTGGGCTAGAATTGGTCTTCAGCAGCCCGGTCTGGTATTTAAAATATGTATTCTTTGTTTTATGATTCTTTTTTTAGGTCCGTTAGTATATATTGGAATATTCTGTGAGCGCTCTTGAACCACCGATGGTGGTTTCATCAGAGAGGTAGACTTGAGGTTGGCAAACATTCCTCTCCTGATCCACATGAGATTTTCCTGTGTAGAACTCCACGATATATAGAGTGTGAGTTTAGTTTTACACAGCTTTTAGCAAGATTCTGGCAACATTACGGCGGGAGGCACTAGAAATGGGGTTCGCAAATCATAGCCTTATGGGGACGCGAACCCGGGTGTTCGGCGTGACGAGCGAAAGCTTTAACTACTAGGCTAGCCCACCACCCCAACGGAAAGATGAAATTATCCCTCTTGCCATACAGGGTCCCGTCTCACAAAGCTCTCGTAGCGCTACGACTATCGTAAGTCAATGTTACAGTATAGGAGGTACGAATGCTACGAGAAATGTTACGAGATTTGTTTACGAGAGCTTTGTGAAACGGGCCCAGACTTGTGAAGAGGTTCCAGGTCTCAAGTTCAGAGGGGTAAGAAAGTGGAAGGGAATTGGCCATTTGATGGTTATCGAACTATATCAAATCATGGATATACCTGAAGCTTAGGTTAAACGTCTTGACCAAATGACCTTGATATGATTTTAACAACCCGAGCAGAAATGATAATTCATGTGCGTAACGAAACAGATCCGAGGGAAGGATAACGCAATTTCTTCCCTTGAGAATTCCTACTTCTTGTCTAAATTTTTCCTCCCAAATTATACACAGATATTATCAATGAGGAAGTTCCGCATTATACATATGGTTTCACATGAAACTTCAGAGGACATTTACTTTCATTTTAAACGAATGGTCGAAAACCACTCGAGATAGGAATGCAAATATTTACGCTCACTTGGCTTAATAACAATGGGTGTATTTGTTGCCACTAAGCCATGTGTATATAAAGAGTGTCGTTATTGGCTATAGTTATATAAGCCAACTAAACCACTGAAGCAGCTCGTAAATGCTTCCCTGTTTTGCTAAGGTCAAGGACACGTTTCACGAACCCATCCACAACGGTCACCTTAGCGCTACGACTGTCGTAAGTCTATGTTAAAGTATGGGAGTTACGATCACCTTAGCGCTACGACAGTCGTAAGTTTATATTAAAGTATGGGAGTTACGATCACCTTAGCGCTACGACTGTCGTAAGTCTATGTTAAAGTATGGGAGTTACGATCACCTTAGCGCTACGACTGTCGTAAGTCTATGTTAAAGTATGGGAGTTACGATCACCTTAGCGCTACGACAGTCGTAAGTTTATATTAAAGTATGGAAGTTACGATCACTTTAGCGCTACGACTGTCGTAAGTTTATATTAAAGTATGGGCGTTACGATCACCTTAGCGCTACGACTGTCGTAGGTCTATGTTAAAGTATGGGAGTTACGGTCACCTTAGCTCCACGACTGTCGTAATTCTATATTAACGTATGGAAGTTACGATCACCTTAGCGCTACGACTGTCGTAAGTCTATGTAAAGCATGGAAGTTACGATCACCTAAGCGCTTCGATCGTTTTGAAGAACGCGGCCCTGAACTTTAACAATGCCAATGTCCAATATCGCTTTCAGCATAGCGGCTCATTTTTGTGACTTCCTCAAAACCAATGTTTCCAAGGCTTCTGTCAAACATTAATTTTCAAGTGCTGTGACATACTCGTGGTTTATTCGACTATTACATTTTCCGTATCCCAATTGCGTAGATCGATGTCCATGTTGTTGATCACTGGATTATCTGGTCCAGACTCGATTATTTACAGACCATAGTCATATCGCTAAAACACTCCTGAGGGCGGCGTTAAACAACATCAAATCCCAAGATAATCACTCACATAACCCTTACATGAAAAATACATATTGTTAATGGTGGTGACTGTGGAATGTGTTGACAGTTTATCTGATGGTAGTGGTCTTGGAATGCCATCAGATAAACTGTCGACACATTTCACGACCACCATCATGAGATAAACTGTCGACACATTTCATGACTACCATCAGATAGACTGTCAAAAAATATCAACACCAGTATCAGATAAACTGTCGACACATTCCATGATTACCACCATCAGATAAACTGTCAACACATTTCATGATTACCACCATCAGATAAACTGTCGACACATTTCATGACAACCATCATCAGATAAACTGTCAACACATTTCCATGACCACCACCATCAGATAAACTGTCAACACATTTCATGACTACCACCATCAGATAAACTGTCAACACATTCCATGACTACCACCATCAGATAAACTGTCGACACATTCCATGACACCACCATCATCAGATAAACTGTCATCAGATAAACACATTTCATTACCACCATCAGATAAACTGTCGACCATTCCATCCATACCATCATCAGATAAACTGTCAACACATTCCATGATCACCATCATCAGATAAACTGTCAACACATTCCATGACCACCACCATCAGATAAACTGTCGACACATTCCATGACAACCATCATCAGATAAACTGTCGACACATTCCATGACCACCATCATCAGATAAACTGTCAACACATTTCATGATTACCATCATCAGATAAACTGTCGACACATTCCATGACTACCACCATCAGATAAACTGTCGACACATTCCATGACCACCATCATCAGATAAACTGTCAACACATTCCATGATTACCATCATCAGATAAACTGTCAACACATTCCATGACCACCATCATCAGATAAACTGTCGACACATTCCATGATTACCACCATCAGATAAACTGTCGACACATTCCATGACCACCACCATCAGATAAACTGTCGACACAACACCATCAGATAAACTGTCGACACATTCCATGATTACCATCATCAGATAAACTGTCAACACATTTCATGACCACCACCATCAGATAAACTGTCGACACATTCCATGACAACCATCATCAGATAAACTGTCAACACATTCCATGACCACCACCATCAGATAAACTGTCAACACATTCCATGATTACCACCATCAGATAAACTGTCAACTGTCACATTCCATGACCACCATCATCAGATAAACTGTCGACACATACCACCATCAGATAAACTGTCAACA